GAGCAGTTTTGTAAAATTTAAATTAAATTCCCTACCACTTTGTCATGGGGTCTGCTCCCTACCCATGGCAAAGATGAGAGTGGTGTTAATTCAACCAACAACTGACTAAAAATGTTGCCTGTGGCAGCAGAACCCTCTCCCCACTGTAGAGCCTTATGGCCCTGCAAAGAGTGCTGGAGAGTCCACATGTGTGGATATCAGGCTTCTTAGTGGCAGTAACTTGGTATCTTTTATTAATGGCTGATAACAGTAATAGTGTTGATATAATAGCTTTCTGTACAGCCTTTCACTTGGTACAGCATGCTATTTTGATTAAAAAGCTAGAAAAGATATAAAATTAACATGGCATACATTAAATAGACTAAAAGCAGGCTAACTGATGTAGGCCTTGCATGAACAATGAGTGAAAACAGAAGTTAATGGACAAAGCAAGAATTCACAGGTGGCCTTGTAAATAAAATGTAGTTAGTAGATAAAGAAATAGTAAGACAAGTAAATGATAAGTTTGCTGCTGCAGCTTTGTTTGCTAGCATATTTTGTAGCTTGTGGACAGTTAGGATTTGTTTATGTATTGTGCCTGTGTTAGTCTATGTATATAAACTGATTTATATTTATGTGCTTTTGGATTTGTAGTAAACCCCCTATACCCACCCTACTGCACTTGAGCTTGATCACCTCAGTGTAGTGTTGCTGTATGCCAGTAAAGAAACTTCAGTGACAAGTCTGGATTCAAACCAAGTTTTTGGATTCCAGGGACCAGGATAAAGTGTTCTCCCAGAACTGGATGAGGTGTTCTGGATAAGCAGAGTGGAAAAAGTCTCAGAGGGACTCCCAACAACTGATAGGTCTCAAAATGTAATTGTAATTTGGAAATCATCATAGAATTGGTGTGTTTCTAATAGGGTCACTCAGGGATTGGTTCTTGGCCCTGCACTGTTTAAACTTTTTATTAATTACCTGGAAGAAAGCATAAATTCATCATTGATAAAATTTTGCAGATGACACAAAAATTGGGGGAGTAATAAACAATGAAGAGGACAGGTCACTGATTCAAAGCAAACTGGATTGTTTGGTAAACTGGGTGCAAGAAAATATGTGTTTTATATGGCTAAATATACATATATACATCTATGAACAAAGAATGCAGGCTATACTTACAGGATGAGGGATTCTATCCTGGGAAGCAGTGACTGAAAAAGATTTGGGGGTCATGGTGGATAATCAGCTGAATGTGAGCTCCCAAGGTTATGCTGTGGCCAAAATGGCTAATGCAATTCTTGGATGCATAAACAGGGGAATCTCAAATAGGGGTAGAGAAGTTATTTTACCTCTGTATTTGGCATGCTGGAATACTGCAATCAGTTCTGATGCCCACAATTCAAGAAGGATGTTGATAAATTGGAGAGGATTGAGAGAAGAGACATGAGAATGATGAAAGGATTAGAATACATGCCTTAGAGTGATAGACTCAAGGAGCTCAATCTGTTTAGTTTAACAAAGCAAAGGTTAAGGGGAGACTTGATTAGAGCCTGTAAATATCTACATGGGGAACAAATATTTAATAATGGGCTCTTCAACTTAGCAGACAAAGGTATACCATGATCCAATGGCTAGACGTGGAAACTGGACAAATTCAGATTGGAAATAAGATGTAAATTTTTAATGGTGAGGATAATTAACCATTGGAACAATTTACCAAGGGTTGTGGTAGATTCTCCATCACTGACAACTTTTAAATTAAGATTGGATGTTTTTCTAAAAATATCTACTCGAGGAATGATTTGGGGGAAATTCTATGTCCTGTGTTATACAGGAAGTCAGACTAGATGATCACAGTGATCCCTTCTGGCTTTGGAATCTGTGAACCTATGTGTATGGGGGAGTACAGTCTGGCACACTGCTTTCCCAGAACTGCTCTCATTCTCCAGACTTCTATCCTTCTCAGTACATTTGATTTAAAGCCAAAAGTCAGTGTAACACTACTGAGTTTTAATTAACCAGTTTATTATTATGTATGTCTCATTTAATCTTTTATGCATTCTCCTTTAGCTGTTTGAGTAAAAGTTTGAGCCACTTTGTTGAGAGACTGCTTATCCTTACTAATTTTTTTCCAATACTAATTTCTCCCTATTGTTACTCACACCTTCTTTTCAACTGTCTGTAATGGGCAACTCCCTTATCACTTCAAAAGTTATTTTTCCTCCCTTGGTATCCTCCTGTTAATTGATTTATCTTGTTAGACTGACCTAACACTTGGTAAAGCACCCCCATCCTTTCATGTATTTATACCTGCTCCTGTATTTTTTACCTCATACATCTGATGAAGTGGGTTCTAGCCCATGAAAACTTATGCCCAAATAAATTTGTTAGTCTCTAAGGTGCCATAAGGACTCCTCATTTTTTTTTTTTTTTTTTTGCTGATACAGACTAACACGGCTACCACTGAAACCTGCTTTTCCTTAATCCCTTGTCTAATCTTTTAGATCAGGCCTCATTACTGGGGAAGCAACCACTAAGTTTAGGTTGTTTTCCAGTATAAAAGATTCTGGAGATTTTTATTTTATTTTTAGAAGCTCTAACACCTCAGTTGTTTGCAGCAAGCTTTTGGAATTTGGTAAGGAGAAAGCTTTGGGGCCAGAGGAAATGCCCTTAGTTTGTCTCATGAAATTCTGTTCAGGCTTGAATGAAAGATGAACTATTGAAAATTTTAATTTCCTTTCTCTTGCTTGCATTGCCAATAAAACATTGGGAGTCTGCCAAAATTCTAACTAAACATGAGCTCATCTAAGGTCATGACCATGCTGCTGCAACCATCACATAGCACACAGTGCTGGAAAACTTGGGAACTTGGGAGGGAGAGAAAATGAGATGGACTCTTCCTGTCCATCTCCCCAACCCCAAAACAAGCCCCAATGGCCAATCCCCTCCCCCTGCCCCGGAATGCTAACCTGCTGTGAGCGAATGTAGTTAGTTCTATAGCGCAGACTATGCTATTCAAAGTTCATACCCTGCTGATGATGCATGATGGGGTTGTTAGAGGTGCAACAAATATAATTTACTTTTACTTTTTTCCTTTAAAAAACCCTAGGAAATGACATGCAGTTCTTTAAAGAATGTTATTTAGGTTGCAAAGTCAAACACTCAAAAGTTAGGAAATGCCAGAATTCATGTTGCCTGTGCAATCTTAATTCAGCCTCCTGTGCTCATGCATTATGATGGTCTTTAATTACACGATTACATACTATTTTTGTAACTTTCGAGTACTTGACTTTGTAACCTTAATAGCATCCTTTTAGTGTGTGCTTTATATATAAAACTGTATGTGTATTCAGAGAAAGAGATGAATGATACCAAAAAAAACCCTCAGGCTTTTGAACTTCCCCTTGTGGTATTCTTATTATTTTATCTATGCAATGTACTGCTCCCTCAAAGAGGGGTAGAACACAAGCTCAGGGGTAGACGATTTTCAAACATCCTGTCTGACACCATATTTAGTCACTTGAATTAAGTGGTCTGATTTTCAAAAGTACAGAACTTCCAGCACCTCCCGTTGAGGTTCTGTGGTCTCCAACCTCCTCCATTTCTTCCTTTGGTGACTGTTTTCAGACTTCAGGACCTTTGTTCTTTGCCTAGGGAAATTTTTCTGGCTTTTTAATCAAAAATCTCCTGTTGACATATTGAAATCAAGGGTAGTCTTTCCATTAATTTCAGTGAGATTTGGCTTGGGCCCTCAGAGCAGAGGGAGTGGGATAAGCATTTTGTCTCTGACTAGCGTGTGATGGTGGGATATGTCTGTATAAAAGGGGGAACTCCATTTTGTATTATGTGCTGAACTCATGTCTAACCCAGCCCAGCCAAGGTTAATGAATTGCATTCCCGGTAACTTCCCTCCTCAGGAAAGGTACCTGACACCAGCACTGAGAAGCCATCAGGGGCTATAATTCTGGAATGGCTCTCTATTACTACCTCACCTCCATGGAACAATGGGTGTTCACCCCCCTTCCCCAGGCTGGAGCACTCCAGGGGAGCACATGGCAAGGAGAGGAAGAGTCTTTTAAAGAGGGTGTGCTGCTCTGAGCAGGGGGGCTGACTGTCACCACATCAGCAGGAGAGAGAACACAGAAGGGACGGGACGGGGGTGGGGGTAATAGGAGCCTATATAAGAAAAAGACCCCAAAATCAGGAGTGTCCCTTTAAAATCGGGACATCTGGTCACCCTAGCCTGAAATGCTGACAAACCTTGGACTAACAGAAGGGACACAGATCAGACTAAGGGAGGCTGTGTCTCTGGACTTCCATTGTGTTTGAAGAGATCTGTAACTCTTGATGCTGTCAAGAGTAAAGTGACTTTGGTCAAGAAATTTGTTTGATAATCCTGTGTTCTTTGATGTCCCTGAAGGGGCTGAACTAGAAGCCAGAGTGACCACATCAAGGTGGAACTCTGGAGGAATGCATGTCAGCGACTGGAGGGGCTCAGGAGGTCTGAGGCACTGGTTTCAAGGTCTGGGGTGGCTGGACCGTCCCAAGGGAAGGGCTCAGACAAAGGGTCTGTCCTACATAGCCAGAATCTTTACTCAGACGCAGTTGACATGGAAATACGTGAGACCGAGCAGTTGGGTCCACTTAGAACAGACTGGTGTCTGTGCAGAGGGGTACTGGGCCTGGTGGTAACATAGTGGACACAGGCCTTTCCTGTAAGAAGACTCACAGGTCAGCCTTTGCCAGTTATTTGAGTTTCCCAGAAAAGACTCATGGGGGTAACCCAGAGGAGAAATAACAAGGACCATCCCATTGATGATGTGCACGGAGTTAAGTGTCAAAGGAAACAAATGTTGTCATTTGTTAATTTCAATAACATTTACCAAATATTATTGGGCCTCCAGTTTTCAAGTTAAACTCATTATCGGGTCTTCTCCAGAAAAGAGCACACAACAGAAATACCATACAGTAGTGATTAAGAAAAGAAAAAATATTTCTTATCCCATTTTCTCTCATTTCAGGTCCTGGGGCCATTTGTTGCATCTGAATTGTGTATCGTTAGTTCTCTAAGCACCGTATCGTACTACCTGTTTCATGCACATGCACGGCACCATGGCCAGTCCTCAGGAGCACCTGAGCTGGCCTTCCTCTACAAACTTGATCAACAAAACTTTCAGTGAAGACAAAGACTTCAGTGGGATACATGGTGATCATGCACCCACCGGAAACCATCCTTCACCTGAGATCATAGAGGATGTGCGAGAGAAGGGCTTACTTCAGGCAGATCTAATAGAAAGTGTGGGCAGTCCAGTCACCACAGCGGTGTTGACCAGCGTCAGCGAGGACTCTAGGGACCAATTTGAGAACAGTGTGCTGCAGTTGAGAGAACAGGATGAAGCTGAAACAGCTGTGCCTCAGGGCAACAGTAACACGATGGATGTAGAGAATAACAGTGGGACAGATGACATTAAAATCCAGTTCAGCAGATCCGGCAGTGGGAGCAGTGGGTTTCTTGAGGGACTTTTTGGCTGTTTGAGGCCAGTATGGAACATCATAGGGAAAGCATACTCCACAGACTACAAACTGCAGCAACAAGGTAAGCTTGCGCCATTGAAATGCTCCCAGTGCATTTCTTCTTCCCTTCATTTCTTTTAAAGTGGAGTTTGTGAGGATGAGGATGCTAAAAGCAATGAAATCCCTTTCCCAGCTTTCCACATGACCATTTGTCTGACACTCTCTCATACCTAATACAAAGAGTTGCACAGAAAACAGTTACTCCGTAGTGAACCACAAGCGTGGAATTGTGTAAGCTAGAGCTGGAAAAGACCACTTACATGATCTACTCCATCTCCTGAACTGGGAGGTGACAGACATTGAAGTTGAGACAATTATTTAAATTAGTCAGGACTGGAGAAATCTATGGGGAACCTCAGGGACATAATCAAGTTAGGTGATTGGGCAGCACATGGCTGATTAAAAATAATATTGACAAATGCAAGGTAAGGTACAGTGGAGGAATAGTTGGAACTGCTCACACACCTTCCACCATACAATCTTAATGCAGGATTTTCCCATGCTGTATGTATTAGTTAGTGTTGTGTCCAGTCTGGTACTAAATATCTGAGACACTGGGGCTTCCATCACTTCCCTGTGAGAATATTCCACCACCTCACACATCTTGTTGTCAGGAAGACTTTAACATTTAACATTTTGCTCCACTCCTTTCTTTTACCTCCCCTCCCTCCCACAGTGAACAATTTTTCTGTGATCTTGGTGTTTACACTTTTCATATATTTGTGGACAGTTATTATGCCCTGCATCCTTTAATTCTGATATAAAAGAGCAGGACAGAGAGAGGTGATGTGAGAACAAATGGATCGCCAAAAATTGTGGATATGAACGAAAATTGTTAATATGGGTTAATAAGGTTATGAGCTTACGGCCTATGTATATTATATCTTTAATGATATAACCTGTCCCCAGCTTTGGGAAAGGAAAAATGCAGATTAGAATGAACAAGCTGTCATTTGAAATAGGGAAGTGTGACGGGGTGAACTCACCCCGCACTGGATTGGGAAGGATTAACTCCTCACTGTGGGCAAAGAAGCCACACACCCACATCCCTACTGGGCATGCTTCAGGTGTAGCACCAGTATAAGAAGGAGCAGCCCAGCTCAGTCTGGGCTGACCGCTGAAGAGGAAGGACGCTCCTTGCCAGCTCCTGCCCAGGAACCACTGATGCCCTGGACCGCAGAAGCCAGAGGCGCCAAGACCCAAGCAGATACCCATCTACCTGTGGATGCCCCAGGGAGGTCTGAGCTACAGGGAATTGCACCGCCCAAGGAACCCGGAGACCCCCAAAGATGCGCAGACTGCCACCAGGTAGGAAGTAGCCCAGAGGGGGACTAGCCATCCAGTTGAGCAGGGAGGACCCAGTTCCCCTACCTGTCCACCACCCCCAGGTGGTGGCCCACACACCCCAATGGGCCTCTAGGCCATACAGCCCCACCTGGAGGGCAACTCTGTTGAGTCTGGCTGCCAGGCCTTACTGCCCCATGAACCCGGGGTATCTCTGTTGACTCTGGCCACTAGGCCTTGCTGCCCTACAAACCCAGGATATCTCTATGGACTTTGGCTGCTAGGACTCACTGCCCTACAGAGAAGGGCTACCCCCCTGACATAGGTCATGTGACCCTACCACCCTGTAGATCAGGACAGTTACATTGGGCCTTAGAGCCCTGCAGTTTGGGGCAACTCTATGGACTTCAGCCCTTAGGTCTCACTGTCTAGAGACAGAGGGCAGCTCGAAGGATGGGGTGAACTCACTCTGCACTGGACAGAGTCTCCCCCACCCTGTCAAAGGAAGTAAAACTGTTGTAAGGGTATCTGCTAATGTTACTTTGGCATAGAGCTATATTGCACATCACTGTGTTGGATCCAGACAGATACTTGCTGTCAACCAAATAATTTACTGGAATATGGACATTGACCAAGCGATTTATCAGATATATGGTGAAGAACACCTACATCAGCATCTGAAAATGGGTTATGTCTGGACCCCAGAATTTTTAAAAACACTGACGGTTGGTGAAACCTTCTAACCTGTGAGATTCTGTGATTTTCAGGAGAATGAATGAATCTGGACTCCCATTAGCTGTGTCAGATGAATTGGTTTTAATGTTGATCCCTGGAGGATCCCAGAGGATATGCTACAGGGAGGAATAGCAGAGATATTGATGGCTAGAACTAGATCCAAACACCAAAACATGGCTCCACGATCTAAACAGCTGAATGCGACTCCAGCAACTTCACTTCTGAGCTAAGTACCTGATAGAAAGGGGAGAGCAAAGGATGGGCCAAGCTGCAAGATCTTGGCATGCAGGAACACAAAACGACCTGTAAAGTAACTCTCCATCTCTCCAAGTTTAGTGTAAGGGGATCTGCTAATGAGAAACAACAAAACCACAACACCACAGCTGTAAATACCACCTTGGATGATTGAACTGAACTTGATTGAACCCTGACTGAACTGAACTTCTTATCTTGAAAATCAGTCACTGCTAACTCTCAGACTCAACTGGGAAATCCACATCTACCCTGCTTCTACCTGATAAGTAGAAGAGGCTCTTGTAAATATATTTTCTTCTACTGAGTGGCAGTTCCATTAATTGACATTAAATACTTCTTACAAATTATGTAAATCTGTTCCTATTCATGGGAAAGACCGTTCTAAGTCTCCTGTTTGGGGTTTAGTGTGTGCTGTTGGTGAGTGCCACCTTTTCCTAGAAGAGGAGAACAAAGGTGAGACAAAATTATGATGGTCAACAAATAGCTATGACAGTGGTGCTCTAAGGAGGGCTTTGGGATGTTTGACCACTGGGAGGCATTCATTGTCAGAGGACTGTTATCATGGGCTGGACTCCACCTGAGAAGGGAGGGAAATAGACTTCTGGGATAGAGGTTGGCACAAATGATAAAGAGAACTTTAAACTAGGAACTCGGGGAAGATTGTTGGGAGATGCTAATGTAATCTCCACGCCCAATTTTAATGTTACAAGGGAGGAAAATCAAGAAAGAAAGGATACAGCAATGAAGAAAGGAACCGCAGTGGGCATAACATAAGAGGAATGATAGCTTCGTTGTTATCAGTACTAACAGGTAGGTGATACTGGCAGTAGAATGACTGTACCCAATTGGGAAAGGAATGTGGGCGAAGCCAAGCAGCAACAATGAAGATGTTTGTACACCAATGCAAGGAGCCTGGATAACAAAATGGAGGAACTAGAACTACTGGTGCAGGAAGTGAAACAAGATATTATAAAAAGCAACAAAGAGTCCTGTGGCACCTTATAGACTAACAAATGTATTGGAGCATAAGCTTTTGTGGGTGAATACCCACTTCATCAGATGCAT